AGCTGGTCTATCCTCTTGAAGGACCCAGGCCTAAAAATACACACACGCACACACGCGCGCGCGCTGAAGAGCTGCCAGGCCAACTTTCCAAGCAGCACTGAAGTGAATGGATACAATTTGGAGTCAATTCATTGCTGCCCACAGGTTTCTGAACAGCAACGGTAAAAACTGGTATTAGGAGCTTATTGAGAAGAGCCAAAGGCTCTGATTTCATTTACTATTAGTGTTCTTATAAGTAGCTTTGATTCCAAGATTCCTCTTGTTTCTTTGTCTCTTAACAGAATCTAACACAGATACAGTATGAGAACACAGTTCACAACAGTAAGACAACACACATCTCAAGTATTAGTCAGGACAGACTATTCTGACTCCTAAAACACAGGCTCCTGTGGAGACTCTCCTTAGCTGCTGAGAACCGTAAGGCTTTTTTCCCTTCTGCAAGTCTCCCAGGCCAGACAACAAGTTACTAACCATTATGTTACAAGCATAGGTACATGCACTTTTTAGTATTTTCTTAGGCCTGACAGTTACATTGGGGGGGGGGGGGAAACCCAAGGCAAATAGGAGGAACACTGGAAGAATGACAGGAAAAGACCACAATAATCAATTACCAAAACACGGAACATATTTGACTCTGAATCAGACAGGTAGCATTGCAGAAGTCCTCAGCTTTACTGAGTTAGAAGATGCTTGTCAAGAGGCACTAGGGAATGAGCTCTGGTTCATTTGCCCAGTAGTCTTAGTGCTATGTGATTCTCAAAGGAAGCATGCCTGTGATCAGTACTTGTTCACAGCTAGTTTCAGCCCAGAGATATGTTGAAATATGTGCATATTTTCTTCAAAGAGTAGATTAGCTTATGAAACAGAAAGGTCAGTTCAGAAGACGAACTCTAATTTGCACTTTTAGTTGAGCACTTCCACCTGATGAAAAAAGATGTCAAATACTGTCCCTTCCATAGCTGTGTACAGACGTTCAGTTTCTCCTGGGAGTGTCACTGCTCTCCCAGAAGAAACCATGAGTGTACAATTGTTGAGGATTTTTTCTCAGAGCAAAAATGGCTGCTCCTGGAGAAGAATCACCTGGGAACAAACAGAGTTAAGTTACTCCCAGGAGAGTTTTTTTCCTGGGAGATTGAATGTCTGTATAACATTCCCTTTTCACAGAAGCCATAGTACAATCCTCCAGCATCCCAGGGTGTTTTTCTGCTCCCCCGCTCCCTTGCCCCAGGAGACAGGGCATTGTTTGGGATGGACTGTAGTATTCCAGATGAGCAAGGAGCAGAACATGCCCCCTTCACAATCGCATACTATGCTGCAGGGAGACACAGGCTGACCCTGAGCAGTTTGGGTCAGCAAATCAGGGCTGCCCTGTGTCAGCACTGCAAGATCTCTACTTTTCAGATGCTAAACATTTTAATGTCAGATCAAGGATCTCTGAATAAGTTTTCTACCAGGAGAACAAACCTAAGAGAATTCTTTCAGATCATTTGAATGTCTGTATGCAGCCAATTATCTTTAGTGCAACCTAACTAATGTTTCTGTAGTTAATTCATTTACTGACATTGTGGTTGCCTCTTTTCCAAGATAAATATTCATTTTAGTTTATAAAAACAACAGAAGACTTTGAGATACAAAGAGTCACACAGCAGAGTGGGCAGAGCTAAAGGAAGATAGTAATTCTACCATAGCTAGTACAATGAAGGGAATACCTTTGTTTGGAGGAAAAAAAGCCATCTACAAAGAAAGCTACCAGGCAGGAGGAGAACAAAGACATGTTACTTGCACTGTTTAAAATAGAAGTTCTGTGTCAGTCCTTTGTGAGGAGAAGGAAATGTGGAGAGGTTAGAAAGGATAAAAATAACAGGGGATGCAACACCATAAAACATCCTCCAAGGATGAAAAGGCTTCCCTTTGATCAAACTAAAAAAAATGGATGGGAAAACATGCCTCCTGTGAACAAAAGAGAAAATGAGAAATACAGAACACACAATTGTAATGGATGAAGAACTGGATGAAAGGCCTAAGATGAACTTCAATTGGTGCAAACTGCTCCAACTTTCTTTTTATAACGTCTGACAACTCCCTCTACAACAAGGCAATTATTTAGCTCCTCGGCCTGTCCCATTAAGATTGCAGAATGATAGCACATTGGGGTACTGTATAAGAAACAGTATTTAAGGGTAAGGGCAGGTTTTCTATTCCCATTTCACTGTTAACAATGATCTTAGCAAAGATTCTGCCAGGCACATTGACATAGGATGCATAAGCTGATGAACACATAGTAACAATATTTGATATAGAACTGAATTATTTTTGAGTTGCAGTCTACATATTAAGTGCTTAAACACAAATGCAAGCTTACTACAGCTGTGGGACTTGTATTCCCTGCTGGAAGACACACTACGTCCAAATTCTGCTCCCTCACCATTTGCTACTGTCATTCTGACTACTTAGTGCCAAGACATCACCCTACAACAATCTCTTCATCAGGTGACAAACACAGGGCACCAAATGTGAGGGGTTCTGTTTGCACAGTTAGATAGGTCAGACAATGCCACCATTGATGACCAGGGATCCTGGTTTTCTCTGATTTAAAAAAAAAACAAACCCCAATTTTTGGATTAAAAAAGTAACCTAAAATCCAAATTTTTCTGTGATTAAAGTGAAACACCACTAATATATAGACACATATATATGTGTCTATATACATATAATGATGTTTCATTTTAATCACAGAAAAATGTGGATTTGGGGCTACTTTTTTTAATCTGAAAATTGGGGGGAGCATCAGAGAAAATCAGGATCCCTGTTGATGACAATAATTATTATCAGAGAGCCACAAATTGATACAAATGAAGGGTCCAGATAGAGTTCTTTCTCATTTGATGGAAAGGGGAAAGGTGCTAGAACTCTAGCACTTTTCCACAGACACTAATTTTTTTTTTCTTGGTCAGCTTCTGGTTAATGGGTCCTTGATGAATTTCAAATTGCCTTACCTCCATCTGACTGCTAATGGAGACACTTTCGTTTTCTTTTTCCCAAGTTGCCAGCCTACCTAGGAAGCATTTCAACTCCCGCCTTCCAATTTCAGGTCTTCTTCCTCTCTACACATACTTTTCTGATTACCTTCTCTGTTGTCAGTAGCTTTCCCAGGGTGAAAGTGACCTAATTCCTATCACTTTCAAAGGTGACCACACTGGTCTGAGCAACCTGGTTGAAAGAGACTAGTCTTTTCATTTGCACTCACTCATTCTTAGAAAAACTGCAGCAACAATTATACTAAAGGCACCTGCAGACCCAGCAAGCAACACTGCAGCAGGTCACAATTGAATCAAAGTTACCTTTGCAACCATAAGGGCTCAAAGCATTAAAACCATTCTTCAGAATCTGGTGATGAGGTAGGCCCTGTGCAATGGATGATGAACTACAAGTGAAAGGTTTATAAAAACTTGCCCTTTTCTACTTCATATAGTAATCCAAGTTAAATTTGTTTCATAAATGCCAGCACGAGGCACAAAATCTACTTTGCTGCCTCCTGTTTTGCCCATAATCATTTTTTAGTGAAAGGAAACAGGATTGTGGCCAGCCATCACAGTATTTTATTTCTTTAATAAAGATGGTAGTGGTCAAGGATCCTTTTCTTTCTCCTTATGAATGCTACTGGTGTTTGGGCAGTTTGCATGCCTTCCTCTGAAGCATTGGGATGTTGGCTGCACCTAAGGCTGGTGGGCTTTTGACTGCAGTGCACCAACACTCTTGCCAGTACTAGAAATCCAGAAGTTCTTGACTAGGGAATCTTGCTCTTCCAATCAGTGCTAAATTTGGGGTTAGGCAGGATTTTTCCCTTAATCAGATTGGCAAGGATTGTGGCTACATCCACACATGATGTGGATGTTTGGCTCCCTAGGGACAACTAGTGGCAGCACACCTTACACTGCCGCTAGTTGTCCCTGGGGAATGCCCATGTCATGCGTGCCCTGACACACAGCAATTTACCCTGGGGACAGTAAGGGAAGCTGGGGCCAGTACTGGGCTGGCCCCAGCAGCCTTACTGGGGGTGCTGGGGACCTCCCGGGGTCGCAGCAGCAGCAATTCTGCTGTGCAGAACCTGGCCGGCAGCCACAGTGCGGCTCCAGCCAGCCTAGCTCCGGTTTTGAGCAGCATGCACTGCACCTGCATGCGCCGCTCTGCTTTTTTTTTCTCTGTGGGTTTTTCTGACCCCTGGATATCCCCCCACAAAAACCCTTTAATGCTGTTCTCTTGCAGCACAAAGAACAACTGAATGTGCAGTACATGGTGCCATGGCCGTGCTTGTTGGACACAGACTGTAGGGGGTTTTGCCTTCCTTTGTAATGTGGGGCATCACCCTGTCCCTAGGATCTTCTGAGCATATATTAACCAACTACTTCCCTATCATTACATGGCAAGGGACTGGAAATGTCCTTTGCTCCCCAGCTTTTACCTATGGCATGTTGTATATAGGGTACTGTTGGTGTTTTGGATATTCTTTCTGGTAGCTGTGGTCGAAGGTTTGTGAAGTGGTGATTTTGGGGATTGCTTTTGTCAATCATTGCCTGAAAAATCAAGCAACTGGATTTAAGGGTCAATCCCAGTTCTATCTTTGAGATAACATTAAGTTTCCAGTGCATCAGTGGCAACGTCAAAACCAACACCCATTTCTAATAACACTTCCTATGAAGAAGAGGAAGCAAAGACAAAACAGTCTTTGAACTGGTTGATGGCCAAAATCGGCAGAATGTCTTAGTAAAATTTTTTTGCCTTTTATCCCCATATAAGAATGACAGCTAGTATAATAGGAAGGTATCAGTGCAGTCAGGGCAAGTATAAGCCAGAGAAGCAATTGCTGAAGAGAGTAAATGATGAATAGAGCTGGCTGTTGACTACGCCAGTGTGTCCAGTTAGGATTTGTTACCTGTTTTAAAAGCACTCAAGATGCTGAATCAGGTGAGTTCAATAAGCAAGTCACTGATTTTCTAGTCTGCAAAATTTTATTAAGCAACAGCTGGACAACTCTTACAACTCCAAATCATCAAGGAAAAATAGGGCAATCAGTCCATCTCTCAATCATGTAGACAGTAAAGACTTTGGAGAAACCACATTATTAAAGGGAAACCATTAATGCTTTCTAGGCACCTCCTGCAAAATCTATTACACAAGATACATAAAAGAAGAGGCAGATCAGGGTAGGTGTAGGTTTGTAATTACAACAAAAGCCTGGTTCTGAACGACATATTTAAAAAAACCAAAAATTTTCAAAAGATTTTTAAAATAGCATAGGTATGTATAAGTACATGGGCAGTGTACCAATTTTTCCAAAGGCTTGAAAAGAACATGCTGGGTATGTTTAGCTAGCAATCTAGGCACCAGCATGACTGCACACTTCTTTAAAAAAAACAAGCAAAAAAAAAGGTTGTTATAAATTCAGAAATAATGTCCAAAGTTACAGTACCAAAATAATGCATTTATAAACAAATGCAAAAAAAATTACTTTTTCAGGATATACTACAGTGCCTTTTTCAATCAAATGCACCCCCATGCTATTCCACAACACTATATATTTTGTATCTACAATAAACAACAAGATCTTTAACACCCCCCCCACCAACACACGCACACAGGAAAGAGAAAAAAGGCAGAGAGGGGGAGGGAAATAAAAGGAAGCAAAAGGCAAAACACAGACTAAGCCAACAAAAGAAGGGAAAACTACAAATTTTTATCAACAAGGAACTTGAAACAACATAGACAGATGGGAATTACAAGCTGAGCACTATTTTAATGAAATACTAGGAACTCAATCATCTGCACATTGTAGAAAAATCTCTCTCTCAGTTTATTACTATTTTTAATCTTAACACTTATTATTTGAACCAACCATTCATCTGGCCAGCAATGTAAATATTCAACATGTACACAACTTTATTAGGATTCAAAATGCCTGTATTGGATTTTGTTTTTAAATTTGGAGTGTACATAAAGCAGAGAGCAATGATTAGAAATATTATACAGCCTTTAAATCCGTCTAACATCATACACCCAATTTTTCAGTACACACTCTGAATGTATTTGGGATTTTTTTAGTCCCACAAACTCACTGTGGTCCAGATTTTACAAGTAGATCTGCATGAGCAGACTCCTATGTCCATGTGGCTTGCTCCATTCAGGTCTAGGAATCTGCTAGCAGAAATCCACCAATAGAATCAGAAGCATAGAGTTGCAGGGTTTAATTTTAGCAACAAAAATTGCTTCAGTGATTCCTCCTTTTTCCTTATACCCAATTACTGATCTTGCCTTAAATTCTTATTTCCACAAATATGAACAACCCCTCCCACGGCCATAATCCCAAAGCAATTTTTTCCTAAAATGCCTTTAGAGATCTCGTTCAATGTGCAATGCTTAGAGTTGGAATGAGATATTTTTAATTGTTAAGCTTCTGTACAGAACTGTGTTTTTGTGTAAATTTGTCAAATATTATCTCAAGTTGATTTCCTTTTTTAGCCTGTTATTAGGGGAGGGTGATAAACCTGTATACATTCCATGATGCACGTAGGGTCTGGTCCGATCCTGCAAAAAGACCCATGACTGCAGCCCACTTTGCCTATGCAGAATTACAAAATACTACTGAAGCCAGCAGAACCCTATGTTGGCATTCAAGTCCTTGCTGGTCCATCCTATTGAAGGATCCAGGCCTAAACACTAAAAAAAAAAATTAGCTGCCAGGCCAATCTTATTTTTTTTGTTTCATCAAACCCGTAAAAGGGCCCTTCCCCTGGCACTGGTCCAATCATTATATTGACCTGTAATAAACAAATATAACCCATTTTCCTGTGGTGGCATCCTAACCTCATTAAAATAAATGGCAAAACTCCAATTTAAGTCAGTGGCACTAGGATTTAATTCCTGGCTTTGTTTTGGAAATTTTAGAAGAAACATGCAGTGTCTCTGGAGTTAATGGTTTGCAGTTTTGCTATCTCAATCCCTATTTTATATCTGTACAAATAAAGAAATGCATAATTTGAGCCAGATTTAATCTCGCTTAAGGCTTGGACAGATCAAACACTTATATCCCTGAAAAAAGTTGGGAAGATTTACTAAAGTTCAGCTGAATCTGCACTACTTCACTAACTGCTCCCAACCCATGGTGAGTAGAAGTTAAATAGGAGCACCTTACCCAAATGACCTGGGATTAAATTACCACTACTGAGTTTCACTTAGTGGGTTAACAGCAGATAAAACAGTTACACAGGTCAGCTGACGTACACTCCCAAGCAGGAAACCTACCCCTCCCCTTTAGGAATGGTGTAGGTAGGCATCTGCCCATGTTCTTACACTGCTGTAAATCAGGAGCGATTATTGGCTTCAATTGAGTTGCTCTTAATTTACACCTGTATAAGTGAAATTAGAGCTCAGCCCTTAGCTAGCATGTCAAACATGCCCTAATGCCTGTGATTGCTCTTGACTGCCAGTGCAGAGTAGTGAGAGCCCTGCAGAGATGAGCCCTTGCTTTCCAGTGCAATTAACTGTGGAACAGACATATACTTTCTTTAAAGCTAGTAAAAGCCAAATTTTCCCCTTGTTTCTTTATTCAAAGTTGTTCCTCATACATTCACCCATTCTGAGGGAGATGTTGCAATATTCTCATTGGCTACCCAAATATAACAGTCACACTGCAGAAATAACTACACTCAAACTGTTTGGAGCCTAAGGGCAGGTCCCCATGTGCAGGGATGTGTGGTTTGTGGCACCACAAACCACTCTGTGGCACCACAAACTGCATGTAGGGAATGTCAAAATGTACGCTGCACTGCAAAATTTGCTACTGGCAAAACCCAGTAGCAAAAAACTCTGGGAAAAAAGTGGTGCAAAGCATGAGCCAATAATGTGTGCTGGAACAAACGGAGGGCTGGCCAACCAGATCAATGCTCTGGATGCCAGCCAGGCTCCATGGTGATGGATCTGCACCCTTGTTGCACCAGGGCACCAGGTAATACTGCTGGGGTCAGCACAGGTGCTGGTCCCAGCCTCCCCTACCCCGGACAATTTGCTGTGTGCCAAAGCCCACGTGCAGGGCCATGCATTGGGACACAAAGCAACAGCACAAATTTGTGCCACGGCTACTTGTGCCTCTATAAGCACATGGCCCTGCATATAGGGATCCACCCTAAGGCTGTGTCCATGCAAGCATGGACGTTTGCTTCCCTGGGGACAACTAGCAGCGGCACACCTTGTGCCACTGCTAGTTGTCCCCAGGTATGCCTGTGCCACAAACCCTCTGGTGCACAACAGGTTACTCCGGGTGGGGTAGATGAGGCTGAACTGGCCCCAGCAGCCTTATCAGGACTCCTGGGGGCCTCCTAAGGCTGCAGCGGTGGCAATCCTGCTGCCCGGAGCCTGGCCAGCAACTGGAGCATAGCTCTGGCCAGCCAGGCTTCAGTTTTGAGCAGTGCAGTGCATGCTGCCCCCGCATATACTGCTCCGCTTTTTTTTGTGTGGGTTTTTTCTGCCACCTGTATATCCAAGGATCAAAAAAAACCCCCCTGTGCTACTACCTTGCAGCACAGAGGACAGCTGAATGTGCAGTATGTGGCACCACATACTGCACGGCCGCACTCATCTGGATGCAGTCTAAGAGTCTGACTGCCAACCAGGGCTGTCTTTACCAAAACAAAACTGGATTCTCAAGTTTTGAGGAGGGCTTTCAAGTGGGTTGTATAAGATGGAGTTTATCTAGGGTGGCCTCTTGTGCAGATATAAAGGAACTAGTGCATAAGATCATTTTGACTACACTTTGCTATTGCCTGCTCAGTGAAATTATTAACTTGACCTTATTATTTTTCTCCCTCCCATCCATCCTTCCTCACATATTCATTTCTAGCATACTAGAAACACAGCACTACTGCTGTAAGGTATTGCTGGTTCTCAGGGTGAAATTCTCCACTCTAGAGAGGACCCACAGAAGATACAGGTATAATTTTAAGACAGAGATAAACTACGTTTATGTGAGTTGGGTTCTCAATAATTTGGCCATCCAATGGGACAGTCAACTCCTGCACCAGATGCCTTTCCCTCTTGAAGCAGGATGAGTGCTGTTGGAGACAGAAGGCATGATGGGAACAGTACTCCTCTCTGCCTCTCTTTTCCTGAAGGATTCACTGTAGCTGCTCTAACCACTATCAGGGCTGAGGTCAGCACAGACTAGCCCTTGGAATCAGACGGTTGTAACTAGAGCAGAGTTTGGCAACAGAAAGGAATCTAGCCCCTTAAAGTGGAATTAAACTGTGCTGGCCCTCTCTGTAGAGGAATGTTGTACAAACTGAGCCAGATATACCCTTTTATTTGCTTTTTCATTACACAAGTCCATCTCAAAACCAAGCATAGCAATAAGAAAAGATAAAGCCAGTCAAGCTTCGTGTTTTTTAAACTATATCCATGACTGAAAGAGACAATTAGAAACATAACAGGAAAAAAAGCAGTGTAGAGGACAGGTTTCTGCAGGTCCCAAAGAAATCATCTACACAGTAGAGTCAGTCTACATAATCCCCAACAAACCTACTGTTTTCAACTGCTTGATAAACAAAATTTGTGCCTGCATTATAAATTGTTGCACATTGTCCAGCAAAAAAAAAATTTTAAAGTCTTCCTATACACATCCTTAAACAATTTCTTGCAGCAAAACATACTGCTAGCAAACAATTAATTACAAAGATGCTTTTTTCATATAAATAAGAAATTGTGTTTAACTCACTGGTACATAGTAATAAAATTATCCCTAAATCACTTATTACATTAAGCAAGATAAATAATTTCTCTCTTGGACATTAACAGGAAATCTGCATTAAATTATCTTTAAAAAATAAATCAACCCCCCCTAAAAAAAATTAAATTAAACCAATGGACCAACCAAAAAAAAAACCCTGCCCCAAAACAAACTTCCCAGGCTGTAACAATTATTGCACAACTAAAAAAAAAAGCTTTGAAAACCATATTGAACTACTAGAAACTACTGTATGTATAAAAGAATTAGATAATTCGGAACACTCTGCTACATTCTTCCTAGAAGAACTTACAGTTATCTACAGAAAAAATCACTTAAATATAAAATGTGAAAGTATTATTTTGGCTGAATGCAACAGCAATCTTCAGGATTAAAGTCATCAGAATGAAATAGTGAAAATACTACTTGGAGGGGCTTTTAAAGTTGTTTCTTAAATTGTATCTCAATGAGCAAAGAGAAAACAATAGAGAAGTATCATTATGACCCACTGTCTTCATAATTTAAGGCCAAATTGTACTCTCAGCTATATGCATACATCACCCACTGATTTCAGAACAAAATGTATGTTGAACAAGGGCAGAAGTGTGTCCCTACAACTAGGGAGTTTTTATGCCCTGGAGCTCATGGTTTAAAGGGACACTGTCAACCTCTTTTTAAAAAGACAACTCTTTACTACGTAAGTTTATCACAGAAATAATTTTGTAAATAACTTCTTACCATTAATATTGTTTATCTCTTGTGCTTTTTGGGGGGAGCAGGGATTGGACTTTCTCCTCTGTATGAAAAGCACCTGCCATAGTGTAAGTGCTACCAGGACCAAACAATTACAGTTTGGCAAAATGAGACTAGACTGGCAGCTTTTTCTTTTGGTTTAATTGACTTCATTTTCTGGTTTGCCTGCATAAGTGTGATGCTGCTGTGAATCTGGATCATAATCAAATTGATCAAATGAATGTACATAATCAAATTGTTCAAACTTGCCTGGAAAGTTAAAGAAAGCAGTGCTATTAAAATACTTCTGTTGAGACTGGCCTTGTTAACCAAGCACTTCTACACATGAAGACACGATCATGAACACAAACACACTGCTTTATGAAATATAAATTCTTGGCCAAAATCTGGTTGACAATGTCCCTTTAGGATGAATATTCCCTGAACGCTCCTCTTCTAGGAAGGAAATAATATGCTTTTGGCCTCAAGGTGTTCAGTCAGTGCATGCTTCTCTGCACTCCAGCACTGTCTGTATTTTGCTGATGGGATTAGCTGGTGCTATGAGGAATGCTGTTTAGAAGGGCAAGTGGGTCAAACCCATCACTCTTCTCCTACAAGCAGTGCCACTGAAGTCATGTAAGTGAGGATTGGGCCTATTGTTTTCACAGCACCTAACTCTGAACAGACATTGGCCCCAATCCCTGCTTCCAAGTCAATGACAAAAGTCCCACTGATTTCAGAGAGAGCAGGACCAAGCCCCTTGTTTCCCTCCATGACCTCTCCCATTCCTACTCATCCTTGAAGCCGTCACTCCAATATGCCATTAGTAAATTCAGAGATGAAGGGGACTCCTTTGTAATGCAACTATATGCAGAACATTGATGGAATTTCAATAAAACCTAATTTATAAAAGTAAATAGAACAGCCTTCTCTGTTAAATGTCAAGGGAAATACTGGACTTGATCTACTCCCCACATAAAAGCAGGGGCTGTTGAGCCCCCAGGTGAAGCAACCATCCTTCCCATGAGAGAAGGGAGGTGGCCTCTTGCTGGTGGGGCTTTCTGGGTCAAGCTGCTGGAGATGCCTGGGTAAAGATCTGAATCCTTGGGAACTTTTGTCAAAACCAGCCTTACCCTCTTGCAGAGACTGTGCTGGTTTCAAAGCCCCCCTGGAGCAGGACCTTTCCACACCAGGTTCCCCTGCGTTACATGATGCATTCCCTACAATGAACCAAGCCTAGTAACGTCTATCTGACCTTTATAGATATTTTAAAAAATGGCACTGTATCATTTTTTCTCCTGATGTATGATTGAGCTTTGTTTGAAAAACACAAAGGGTTTCCTGATAACAGGTAATGTCACATTTTGCGATTTTAATGTGAAATTTATTTAATGAATGATTAGGGCTTTCAGGTATTACCAGGGAAGCACTTCCAAATCAAGATGTATTAAAGGACAAAACAGCGGGGAGAGAGAGAGAACAAGGTAGAGAAAGAGCATTAAATTCATGAAACAGAATCTCTCTCTAGTAAAGCAACTCCCTTGCAGTACCATGGGTTTTGACTTATATTAGAGAGCTCTACAGCTAGGAATAATCAAGTGACTGTATACAGCTGAATAAAAAAAAATCCCTTATTCTCATCTAGTCTATACATACTTTGGCATCCCATTCTGCCTCGGAGTGTTAAGTGCTCACAGACTACAGTTGATAATGCAAATACTTAAATAGCAGGGCACCAGGAGGGATGGTCATCTTCAATGCTTTCTTCTTTTCTTTCCTCTTCCAACCAGCTGTGATGAGCAGTCCCCTAACCTGCCATATATGCGTGTCTCCTTCCCAATTCAAACACTGCTATAATGCTGTGAAACTGTGGAAATCTAAACACAGATTTAAAAGAATTTTACTCACTGGGCACATTTGATTTATGTTAAAGATTTTGTTCTTAGAGTGTAAACATATTGATGTGAGGTTCAGGTGAAGCCCCAGTCTGCAGGAGACCCCCCAGGACACACTATGTACCTCACCAAACTATAGTCCAAGGTGAAGAATACTGTTGTTCAATACAAATACAGATGCACATCTCATAATTCAATCCTTCCCTATTTTCCATCACCTAATCACACACGTTTATCCCAAGTAACAGCACACAAAAAAAGCGGACATCAATTTTTTTGATGCAGTGGGTTTTGAAACCACCCAATGGGAACAGATTAGTTTCTCTTCTGAATAATACATTGTTATTAATAAATTAAACATTGACCTACGTAAACCTCCTTGGTACCTGTGGTGCTCAGCTATTATCAGAGATCAGAAAAGAAACACGTGTCTTCAAGTATTATAGCTTCTTTTCTTTTTTCTTTTTTTTTTTTTGCTGCTATCATTGATGTAATAGTAGTACAAACTGGACCAGGAAAAAAGTTATGTTCCCTGTTTTAAAAAGAACAGCATGGTATAAGGCAGTCTATCAAAAAGAGCAGTCTTTTTTAATCCCCCTAGGAGCTTACGTCAGCTATTGCAGCAAACACGGCAGAACCACCACAACAAGCCAAAAGCCACATTTCCAGATATAACACTGAACGGCTCTCAACCCTTTGCTCTTTCTGAAACCCCAGCATGATGTTTAAGAAAAAAACAAAACAACCAAACAAAACAGCCCCCCACCCAATACCCCAATATTGATTAAAGTTAATGCCCTTTTTGGGGGGCACCAAGAGACTTTTCCAGTTTCACTGCCTTCTTTATTTCCAGGCACCGCCGTGCACCTAACACAGGCCACCCTGATGTCTTCTGGTTTTGGCCATATGAAAAGGTTTCGTTACATTTTCCTCTCTCCAGTCTCTGCTCATTTCATTTGAGGCGCTGAGTCACATTTGCCAAAGCAACTGCAAAGGCCTGCACTGCAGAAAACGGATACTGAAAGTCCAAAATGTAAGCGTTGCCATCAATCCTTCCAAATTGCATTACCTGGGGAAGGGGTAAAGGCAGAAAGAAGAAGAAAACAAGAGACAATAAGTCAAAAGGTGGGAGATGCAAAGAATTAACTTGGAAAAGAGCAAGATCACCATATCCTCATTTAGACTGAATAGTACTTTGTTTCTACTGAACCCCCCAACCCCCATCCTGGCAGATCCATATGGGCCTCTGGCATATACAATAAGGTCAAGGAAGGCCATCTGCAAGAAGGCTCCTTGCTCTCTATACCTCCTGGCCCCAGTGGCCTTCCAAGCTCCTTGTAAACTCCAGTCGAAGCCTCCATCTGGTCAAAACAATAGACGCAGAGCTCTGAGGCATTGCCTCTGCATACTACTTGTCATAAGGTCAGAAGGAAATACAATTTGTACTACCACCAGCCCTGTCCTTGCCTGCCCATGTTTCCCTCTAAACTCAGTCCCCTGCCTCAGCACAGCCTCTGAGCAGTCAGACCTGACTGAGGGAAGAGAAGATCTATTTGTGAGCATCTTATCAGGCAGTGCCCTTCATTCTTGGACTGAGGAGAGAGTCGTCATGAGAAGGAGGGCACCTAAGTATCCTAAGGTTGTTGAGGATGTGGGATAACTGAACTATACAGAGAAAGAGCCTGTGAAAGACTGTTTCTGTGGATGAGGTGGGGCAGTGCCTTGTTTGAGTTGGGGAGGGGACCACTTCTGAATGAAACCACCCCCCACTCAAACATGCAGGCTCCTGACTTCTGTGGGTCAAGCTACAAGACAGTCTCAAGAGTGGGAGGGGGAGGCCAGGTCAGCTTCTCCAGGGGAGCAGGATATTTTTAAACAGCTGTACATCCCAGCTAGTGTCTGATCCCAGCACAAAAGGTAGGGGTGAGGAGTGGCACCAGGCCCCAGGGCCAAATCCCAGCACAAGGTGTGTGGGAGGTGGCAATGTTGGGCTCCCAGGGCCCAATCCAGGCACATGGGGCATGGAGGGGCAGTGCCAGGTCCCAGGGCTCAATCCATCCTGTGGACCAGCCCCGCATCACTTATCTGGCCCATGGGGCCAGAAGGTTGAGCACCACTGGACTATACCATGAACACGTCCCTTCTACTATTAAACTCCCAGCTATCCTGTGTATTAGAACAAGAGTGTGAATGTGGACAAAACTTTGAAACAGTTGCTGGGATTCACCAATGCTGCTACAGACCAGCTATCATCAGCCATTAATAACTTTAAGCATTACCAGCCCAAAATTTTGGTTTCTTTCCTGCCTTAACTCATTAATTACTATATTTACCCAAATCCAAGATGACCCTGAATTTTAAGACAACCTCCCAATAATTTGATTCTAGACATGGAAAATGTATACATTTTTAAAATTTTCCATGTATAGAATCTAAGTATTGGAGGACAGTCTTAAATTTGTTCCCCCCACTACTACAGCAGGGAAAGAAGTGGCAGGAGGGCAGGCAATAGGAGGGGCAGGTGGTAGGACAGGCAGGTGGTAGGGGAGACAGGCGGTGTGGTGGCAGGTTTTAGTGGGTGGGAGGTGGGGAGGAGGTAGGGGACATAGTGGGGAGGTAGGCAGTGGGGGAGCAGGTGGAAGGGAGGTGGTATAGGGGTATGCATAAGCAGGCGGTATGGGGGCAGTTGGGGGTGAATCAAACATCTTGCCCCCTGCTGTTTGTCCCCCCACCACTTGTCCCCCTTATGCCTGCCCCCTCACTGCCTCTGCCCCCCTGTAGTCCTAGGCTTCAAGCTCCCTCTTCTCCACCTCCCCCCACTGCTGTAGCCTCTACCACCCCATCGGTCCCCCGTCCTCCCCACTAACCCTTGCTCCAACACCAGCAGGCTTCATTTTCACTCCATCCTGGGGCATAGAGCACAGCCCCAGCCTGGCCCCACAGCAGTGATCGGGAGGCCTAGGCTACAGAGGGGTGGTGGGAGGAGATGGTGGGTGAGCAGAGGCTGTGGGGAAGGAAGAGATGGGGGGAAAGGCAGCAGGCAGGTGAGGGTCTGAGGCTGCGGAAGTAAGAGAGAGAGGCAGCCGGGGGCAGACAGGCAGCAGTGGGTCGGGGTCAGTGCCACAGCAACCACCTGCTGCCCCGCTGCCTCATATTCAATTCCAAGACAAGGAGCTTTTCCCCCACTTAAATGGGGGTTAAAAATTTAATCCTGGTATCTAGCAAATCTAGCTATGAACAGACCTCTCTATTAGTGAGTTGTCCTAAGATGAATAAAGGCATTTCCCCGTGTCTGACTGAAACAGGATAACAGTGTCTTTCCCTGTTTACTGCTGACCCTCACCCCCCAGCTCTACTGGCAGACCTCTGATCACCAGCCGTGAACAAGCTTGTTGCATAGTAAGATTTCTCCAAGAGCAGCAAGGCTTATGCAAGCCAGAGGCCTACTCCAGTGGCCATGAAGCAAAACAGCTTCTCTGACACAGGCTTCCATGCCGCCCGCCCCCCTGCAGCTTGTTACTGCAGTTGTCATTATCCTCCTACCTGTCGTCCTTCCAGCTCAATCTGGAAGTTTTTTGCAGACTCCTGGGTCACCCGTCCTCCAAAGTCCAGTTGGTATACTTGGGTGGCCTCGTTCCACAAGGGCTGCTTGTTGGCCATTACGTACACAAAGCCCTGGCTGCCCAGCCTTCCATCCTCCTTCTCATTGGCCTTCCGACACTTGAATTCATCCAGCTCACTGGCTGTCCTCATATTCCTTTTGGTTTTCCACCCCTTTTTGCTGCCCTGACTCTGGTTCATCAGTTCATCTCCACTGATAAAAAGCTCTGGCTCACTCTCTGAGCTGTCCTGAAACTCATTTGTCTTGTTCAGCTTCTTTGACTTCAGCTGGTCCTTCTGGCTCTTGACTTTCTTCTTCTCCCTGCCCAGCCTGGGGCTGGATATTAGAGAGTTGAAGTCAGTCAGTGTCCTTGCCTCCTTTTTGACCTTGCCCTCTGTGATAGCCTGCACATTTCCTTCCTCAGCTCGACTATCCAGGCGTTTCCGGTTCTTCTTCCCAAACTTGTCTGTCCTTTGAGGGACAGGGCTTTCTGTCAATGAAAGCACCTCCTGGAAGGTGTCCGCTGTCTCCACCATTACTTCTGTACCCACATGACCCTGAAGCTCTGCTGGTGGTGGAGACATAACCGGCTTCTCCACCACAAGGAGTGGCTTAGGGGGCAATGTGCCTTGGGCATTAGGTACAGGTGGGCATGCGCTGTAGGAATTCCATGGGTGCAAGGCTACTGGTGGAAGCTGTAAACTAGAGCAAGTGCTGCTGCCTGGGTACATGGGTGGCAGGGGGCAATAAGAGAGATTAGATGGATAACCTGGCTGAAGCACGACAGCTGGCTCCTGTTGTGCAAACTGCGTTGGGGCCAGAGCTTCTTTGGGGGAGCAGGGGGGCTGCATTCCCTGAAGAGGAGGGGCACCGTAGCTTCCTGGGTAAGGTACTCCAACTCCGTAATTCGTCTGGAAAGTGGCAGTGGGACTGGTTGGAGACTTAGGGGAAACGAATGGCACTCGAGACATGTCCAGATGCTGAGCTTGACCAATTATTAGAGGAGCAGGTTTAAGAGTGTTGGGCACTGAACTCTGAGCTGTCCTTTCTTGTGGAACCCATATGTCCTCACTCACCATGGGGTCCCACTGGTACGGGGGTGGCCGCTTTACAACAATGGCAGCCTCTGTCAAGGCAACAGGCACGTGCCTTATCGATTTCTCCACAGGGCAGTGCTGAGCCAATGCCTCATCCTCTGTGAAGGCAGAGTTGATATAATCTGTCCGGTCACGAGAGCTGTCAGGAGGGCTCAGCAAGTTGTAGGAGGACTGGGAGGCCAAGGGAGAAGTGCTGATGGAGTGAGCAATGATAGAGCTGTGCTGGGAGCCACTCGCTGCACTTAGGTCAGGCCTCATACTGCTAATGCTACTAGTGACGTTGCTAGTGTTGGCACTGCTGAGGCTCCCAGCACCACCACTATTTGGGTTGGGGCTGCTGTTACTGCCACTGCCATTGCTGCACTGACTACAGGTGTATAAAGCTGTCGGTGCCCTCTGCTGGTACTGCGCTGTTACAACATTGCTCTTGGGCTTGGGAGGAAGTTGCAAAGTGGCTCTTTGATTGTCGACCAACTGGGCCATTTTCAGAGCTGCCTCTCTGCTGTTCCTCCTCAAAGTAGCATGGATAAGACTGCTGTCCAGCCTCTGGGTGAGGCTACGGCCCTGCGAGAGCTGGCCAGCAATCTCCGGGTAAGGTGGCGGGTCCCCGGTTGGGACAGAGTAGCGGGGAACGGTGAGCCTGTTCAAAGTTGCACTGGTGCAGGGCTGCTGCATCTTCTTCTCTGCTGCTGTAATCCTCAGTGTGGCAGAGCTGCCAGGACCAGGCAAGGTGTAAGTGTTCTGCGCACACAGCATCCTTGTCCGAGGGCGGCACACCTCTTCAACATTCCCACTGCTATCAAACGTTGTTATTCGCTCATAGCCAAGAGGGGTCTGATAATGTCCTGCTGGGTACAGGGAAAAATCTCCCTTCTTCAGGCAGAGATCCACCGGTGGCTGAGGAGGAGGAATGGGTGGGGGAGGGGGTGCAGTGGTGGGTGCTGCTGGTATGGTCCCAGGGTACGGAGGGGGCGGGTTCATCTTGTTTAGCTGTATTTCTTGAGCGGTGCTGAAGACAACAGCATCTCCTTCCACCAGCTGCTGAACTGGCCGTAAAGTTTTTGCCTTCTGGAGATGTTCGTGGTCTCTGTCTCCTTCTCTGTGGTCCATCATAGCCATCTGTATTGCACCCTGTGATGGCAGGGGAAGTGGAGGTGGTGCCTGGATGATGCGGCCCATTTCCACTCCTCCAAAAATTACCTGTCCTGGGTTGGAGTACCTGCTGGGGACTGGGTACTGCACTGTACTCTCACTTGTGTGGTCTGAGGTCCCCACGGCTGTTGTCTGATTGGTCAAGACATCCAACTGCACGTTCTGATTAGCCAACAAGGACTGGACCAGCCCAATGCTCTGAGTTGGTGACATTGCCTGGGCTGAGCTGTGAATAGGAGCAATAGGGATATTCACGGTGCAGGGAGGGTTGTTCTCAGGGACTCCAGAGGCTCCAGTTACTGCAATGAAAAATCATAAGCAGGAATTAGAGGCTGCTGCCATCTAAAATAAAGAAGGGGAAGTATTAGATTCACTCACCATGTCTTGTAACATTATTGCCTGATCTATATTTGCAACTGGGAATTTGTATAAGCCATAAAACACTACTGTTATTATTACCCCTTTTTCACAACATCAGCTATGATCCAGCCAAGCTCTTAAACAGAGGTTTAACTTTTAACATGTGTATAGCCCCAGGTTAAAGTCAATGGGACTATACATGAGTTTAAGGATTTTGCTGGATTAGTGCTTTGCAAAGCACCACAGGTATACATGGCACTTTCCCCACCTACAGCACGACACATTTTCTGCATCTAGTGCAGAGGGTGACAAGCGCAGTGTGACAGTTCAGGAAAGAGAAAGTTGGGAGAATTATTAGTAAAGAGGAGGATTCATAGAATGGGTAGGTTTCAAGAGGCATTTGGAGGAGGAGAAGAGTGGGGGGAGAGAGAGAGAGAGAGAGAGAGAGAGAGAGAGAGAGAATGAGAACAGTGAGATATTTCCATGTGTATAAGACTTGGGGGTAGGTGACAAAGAGAACAGGAATGCAAAGGAATGGGGAGGACCCTAAACAGCTAGTGGGTGGGATGGAAGGGAGCTAGAAACAATGTTACTGCAAGATCTTGAAGGTGATAGCACAAAACTTGAAGGTAATGCAGTAACAGGCAGGAAGTCAGGGAATGGACTCACAGTGAGGTGAGGCTGCCAGGAAGACAATGTTAGCATCAGCCCTTGGAACAAACTGGAAATGGGAAAGGGGAAATGCAGAGGTTGAGAGGAGAAGGTTGCAACAGTTTCCATGAAAGCTGACCAAGCCTCGGGTATAGCAAGGAAAGGAAAGATCTTTGAGACATGACACAGAAAGCAGCAACGGGACACAGGACTTCATCCTGCTCCCGCTACAAATGGCAGCAACATTCCCAAAATAGTCTCAGTGTGGCAATGGAAAAAACAAGGAGGACCAGGTCAAAAACGACACTAAGATTTATAACCACAGAAGACAGCAAGGACTGAAGAGCTGGCAACGGAGACTAGGAGGAGAAGATAGGGTGAAGTCAGGATGAAATATCCAGGGGCCAGCATCTCTGGAGTAAATCATTATTATCCATAGGATTTCAGCAAAGCAATACTGAATTACATCAGCTATGAGTCTGTCCTGGGAAGCTGGGGATTGACCCTGAATTTGCAGCAGTACATTCTACAGAAAAATGCCCAAACAGGAGCTCACCGTACAAAACTGAGTATATAGGGAGAAGTTAGGGACAAAGAGGTATATTTCAAAAGCAGCCACAAAATTGATGTGTAGCTGAAAGCAGGGGAACAAATGAAGCTTACACGAAAGAGAGGGTCCAGGGCCAGGGGAGACATCAAAAGAGTGAAGACAAGTCTATATGATATCTTGCATTACCACGCAGAGACACCCCAGTTAGCTCTAACTGGGCCAGCTCAGATTCCAGGAGCAGTCTAGCTGTGCTAGTGGCATATGAATACCCACAACAGCTAATACCATTGTGTAGTACCACATACATATTCACAGGGAGCTAAGGAGCCACTGAACCAAAGCAACCTGGTAGATGAGAGAGCGGCATAAAGCAGTGGTGCTCTATCCTTTTCCCTGCAGGCCAGAAGAGTGTTGCAGAGTTGGTCCACGGGTCGGATTGGACCCCGCATGCCAGGATCTGGTTTGTACCACCTCTGCGTGGCCCTGCATGCCTGGATCAGGCCTGGGGCCCTCCACAGACTCTGCCAAGCCTGACAGATCAAGATCGGGTTCTGGGTCCTTCACCTCCCTACCCCCAGGCCTGTGACTAGGATCAGGTCTGCACTGCCCCCACCTAGCCCTGCATGCTGGGATCAGGCCTTGTGGCCACGTGCTGCCCTCACCCAACCCCATGCCAGGATTGGGCCCTGCACTGCCCTGTGCACCTGATCCAGCACACACGGCCACAATGTATGGCCCTGTGGGGCTCCTCAGAGGTCGGGAAATTTGGCAGCAGAGGAGTGGTGCCACCACTCTCCCCCCACCAAATTTTCAGACCCACAGGGAGCACTGCAGGCCAAATGAGACAATGCGGGGGGGCTGGATTTGGCCTGCAGGCTGGGCACCCCTGGCCTATAGTACTAAAAGCAGCTGACAATTCACAATGACAATTCATTAGTGACCTTGGCTGAGATGGGTTCAGTGGAAAAGAAGGCCACATTAGGAACATCCTTTTCATCTCTTGTAGACTCCTACCCAGGAAAACAAAGGGATGAAGGACTAGTTTCTTCAATACTGCAATCAGAAAGGATGTCAAGCCATGATGTGATCCACAAAGACCTTCCCAAACTTCATCTTCTGAGAATGAAAATATTTCTGCACCAAAAGTTTAGCATGGGTCTGATCGTTGGCAATGCCTGACCTAAACAGGCAGGGCGAGAGAAAAGGCTCAGAATCTAACAGAAATGTACTGATTGCATTTCCTTACTTAAAGGACTTGAAGAAAGGTGAATTGGAACTGGGAATTGTGCAGCAGCCAAATCTACTGCCATCATGTCCATGGTAACTGGAAAGTATGACTTCCATGGAAAGTTGAGATGGGCTGGGCCAAAACAGACCACTGGTTCATGTAGTCTGAAATCCTCCAATCACAGCCAATAACTAATTATTTCAATCAGTTCTGTAAAAGTCTGCCACCCTACACACCTGACATAACTTTACCACTAATATGATTAGCTTTTCCATCAATGCCAGCCATCAAAGGGAAGAATAAACATATAGATTTTTGTGGCGGCAGTTTTGCCAGCTTGCCACAGAGGGAGGTAGAAAGCTTAAACAAACTATAAGGCAAACTATAGTCACCTGTGTGATACCATACATGCCTGGCTCACCACACATTCCTCATGATGTCCCTACATTATCAGTTAATGCCTGGATGCATGGGATTTCATTGTTATCTTAGCCTGAACATACTTCAAGTATTGTTGTTATAGGTACTTTACACTTTCCCAAATAAAACTGTATTTGCCACTGTGCAGCCCAATATCCCCAGCAGGACTTTTTTCTCCATTTTTTCTAATTGAGTCCTTTCTTCACATAATCTGAAAAATTAAGTCAATTCACTATTCATTTCCTTTCCAAATCATCTTTTAATATATTCAACAGGACCTGGTCCTGGATTACAAAACTATTAACTTTTCCACAGTCCAAGAGTGGTTTTTTATAGTGTCTGTATTTCCTATCAAGATTTTCTCATTCCCCTTCCCTGCCCTTAATTCATGGCTATTTATTTTTCTTAATAAACAGCCCAGAAAAAAAGGCCTTTCTACATTTTTTTATTGAAAATATTTGTAAATGTTAGGTCAGAAATGAGTTTTCAGGAGGAATTTGAAAGAAGAGGGAGGAGTGGACAAGAGGAAAAATAACTGTTAGAAGAATCACTCTGTCCTCTTTCTATTAGCTTTTTTCAGAGCTCTGACAGATGTCACAATACTTTGATTGCACTAAGCTACAGTTTCCCAAATACAGCTCAGCACTTTCCTTAAATTAACTCTTTGCTATTAACCCTAGCACTGAGCTATGATGCAACAGTCTATAATTCACAGCACCCTTTTCAGCTCCTCTAATGTAAAACGAGTAGGTAAAATGGATCCAAGACAATCTAAATATTAGCAAGGGCCATGAATATCTTTCTGTGACTCAGGACCCATGTTAGGAAATCTCTGGCTTTGAGAATTTTCAAATATGTCAGACATATCTCTATTGCTTTGTACTTTTTCCTGTTTGGACCCTGGACCTGAACATAATCTAGGCTTGAATTAGGCCTCAGTTCAGCAGAGCGTTAGACCACGTACTTCATTTTAAACACACATTTTTTCCTGTTGAAGTCCTAAGGACTATTTTGATGGTTAAAGCCCAAGGTCCAAGTGCTTTAACAGAGCAGGCCCTTATGGCTTGATCCAGAATCCCACTTAAGTCAATAGGAGCCTTTCTATGGATCTTACTGTATTTTGGATTGAGCCCTTACTTCAGTAGCAAAACAAGGGGTAGGCCACCATGGAACCCTGGATGCTGACCATGGAGTAAAGGGGGGCCGGAATAGAGGCAGGGGGGACACTGAAGTGATGGTCAGAGGCTGGGCTCTGCATTCATTGGTTAACCCAGCAGCTGTTAGTTCCAGCTGGGCAAACCAGAAGCAGGATTCTCCTTGCACCAACTGTTACTGTGTTAATCATTTCAAAGCCACTGCCAAAATAAGGCTTTTACAGCCATGATCAACATCAGATAAGACTCTGCTGAACTCCTACACCCCCATTCTTCTGTGCTCAGCACAACCCCCTCCCCACCCCTCACTCTCTGCAGTTTCTCAACTTTCTCCCACACCTTCCTCCTGAAACAAATTTGAAGTCCCAAGAAGACGACACAGTGGATTCCAAATGGAACATGACAACAATGTCTCTGTTGCCCTCTGCACCAACAACAAGATATATATAAATTCATTTAACTTCTTTGCTACTGCACCATCCATTTTCTTTACATGTCTTGTTACAGCCTGGTGCTTCTACTTGCTGTCATTTGTCATGTTCACTTGCGATGTCTCATCCTCAATGCTCACCACATTGTTGGGGTCTCCCACTAGTCTCATGTCTGAGCTGAGCAAGTAGGCAAATATCCTCCCTGATGGCAAAATTAAAAAGAGGCTACTGAAGTATTCCTGTCTCTGTGCAGTGACAATCACAAATAAGAACTGGAATGAATGCATTGCATTTCCCAAAGGAAGCCAAGTCTGTATGGCACTGGGATGGTCACCTTTTCTCAAGCCTAAGCATACAGCACAGCAGTTCTGCGTACTGCTGCTGTCAGGTTACAAGAATGGGTCTGACAAGAGGTATAAAGGGCTTCACTCTGTGGACAAGTCTTACAGGATTTAATAGAGGGTGGTAAGCTGTCTATGAACTTTAAATTCAGCAGCAGAACTCTATCCTATGGATACAACTCTTCAATATTACTACAGGTTTAAAAAAAAAAACAGCCTAAAGAATCCTAATGACTTCAATCCTACCAAAATCATAAGATGTGTCCAAAAGGGGGACTCGGAGTGAGGAATTTTGCTTTGTCTATATTGGAGGGAAGAGGGGGGTGGGGGTGGGATCTGTCCACAAACTCACCAACCCCATGGGACTGCAGATATTGAATTCAACCTCACCTGGTAAATCATCTTCATCTTCACTGAACACATTGGGATTGAAGACGGGCAGGTTAATGTAGTCCATAGATATTTTTCGCACTTCTGGTAGATAAATAGTCATCTGCCTGGGCTGGAGGTGCAGCAAGCTGGTTTTATAAATAACTAGGCAAGAGTAAAACAGGAAAAATAATATTACATAGAGGGAGGCAACAGGAAGAGAGAATAAAGGGGAGTCCATAAAAAAAACCAAAGGGGGGGAATATAATTGCTTTTATGTGACATTACTGTCAAATAAATACATGCATGGTCTATTCTTGATTAGGCCACCATGCAATGCATAGCAGCAGAAACAGTTTAGAAGCAGGTCCTTGCTACCTGGAGGCCTTCTGGTATTCTTTTCTTTAGTTATTCATCCTTAACCAAAAGCTGCAGCACTGCTACATGCTGTATAGAGCAGTGTTTCCCAGACTTCTGATACCTGGAGAACATTTTTATTCTGGATTAGAATTGGTGGCACACTTCACTCTGACACCTGAAAAGGTAGAGTGTGTGTGTGTGTGTGTGTGTGTGCGCGCGCGCGCGTGTGTGTGTGTGTGTGTGAACATATGTAAGCCTGTGAAAATATAACTACATCTGTAGATATAAGACAGACAGATATAGATATATTTAAAATATTTTAAATATTCCATTCTCCTGCCAAAGGAAATCACACCACTGCTGAGATACACTGTGAATGGGAAGGAAGGAAGGAAGCAAGGAAGCAAGGAAGAGGAGAGAGGGGGAGAGACAGGCAGAGAGAGAGAAAGCAAGCAAGCAGGAGCTGTGCCCTGCTCTTTCCACTCTCTGCTCCCTTCCAACTCCTGGTCTGTATCTCAGGGGGCAAGGGCAGCCCCCACCGTTGAGGCTGCTCCTGCAGAGTTTCACATGTTGGTGACCACTCATGCCCCCTCCTGCTGACCTAAGAGTGTGGGAGGAGTGGAGGGGACAAGCCAGGCTGCAAAGTGTGGCTCCCTGCATCTTCCCACCTGCTTGCAGCAGAGGGTGTTGCTGGAGCATGGGGGGGCCAGCACAAGTGCTGCCTGGGGCATAGGGAAGGGTAGGGGAAGGCAGCTGCAGATGCCACTGGAGTTGCTGCGGCAACTTCAGGGTGCCAGACAGGGGAGAACATTTACCTCCTCACACAGGGGGATGTAGTGGCAAACCTCCATCACTCTCGTGGCACGCTAATGTGCCACAGCACACCCTTTGGGAAACCTTGGTACAGAGATTCAAATTTACAGACACAAATTCCTGAATTTCAAAACAGGAGCCCTTTAATATTTTTGATGGAAGGAAAAGGATCCTACTAACTTCCCTTCATGGTTATTTTTTTGTCCTTAGCTTTTCCCCACCTCTTCATATGTTTAAAAAAAAAAAGCCGTGAGGATCAATCACTGCAAAATACGGGTGTCATAAAAAACCCTTTATGTCTGTTTTGGGGTGGAATGGAGCTTTAAAAATAAAGAGAGTGATAACAGGATAAAACATTTCTCAGAACTGAACAACAGTGATAGTCAGGAGCTACAGGGACTGCTACTGGTGAAAAGCAAAAGATGCTTTATCCAAGGAACGCACAAAGGAGGTCTGTGGCATTCCACTGGCCATGCTGTCTCAGCACATGTGATCAGGCACTGCATTAACGTCTGAGAGTCCAATCCTGAATCCCCCAAAGTAAATGAAGAATGCTCAGTAGGTGCCTGATTAAGCCCAGATGAATCAAACTGACAGCTTGTTTAGAGTTCAGTTAATTTCCCTGTGAGAAAAGATCAAGTCCTGAAAGTGAAGCTGCCATCTCTTGGCAGAAGTCCCAATGACTGCTTTGCCCTTTTGATGCTCTCGGGCCAAACTGCCTGCACTGTCACAGGGTGGGAAAATTTCCACTTCTCTGGCACCGGGAGAAGTCAAACACTGCATTAAATATGTTACTTCAAGACTCCAGTTCAGAGCAGCAGTGCTTTGAAAAAGAAGTACCTGTTTCAAACACATGAGAGAGCTGATGGCAGTGACTCCTATTTCAGGAATTAATGTCCACGCTGGTCATGTTTTCAGAAACAGATTAAAGAAAAATTCCAGGGATACCAACCCAGGGAACTACTCCAAATCAGAGTTTAACAAGTGACAGAGGTGGTGCTAAACCCAAACTCCAAATGTTTGTGAACTCTGGGAAAGCTCTGATTTGGATCCAGATCAAAACATCATTACTTGGCCCTATCTCTACTAAATAAGCATGTACAGTAAAGGGGTTGGGGGGAAGAGATATTCAAAGGAGTGGCTAGCAATTCCTATCTTTGTGTAAGTGTTTTCATTCAGAGACTAGTTCCTGCCACCCTCATTCTTACTGGGTGCATCTACAAGTGACATTAATTTGACTGGGTAAACTTCTGCGCAGTTTGCACTGGAGTTTATTGCTCCTGGATACTGTGTTTACATGTGCACCTGGGACTGCAACACGTTGTCTGAGTGGCCCCAGCTGGCAGGGAGCCTGGGTGTCAGGCTGCCAGCCCAGGGCTGCTCCGATCTGGCTCAATATGCTGCAGAGGGGCTGGCTGGAACACAAGCGTGCTCCAGGGTGGGGCTAACTGGCACCTGAGACTTTACTGAGGAGCTAACTAGGCAACTTTGCAGTAAATGCCTCATGTACATGCACTCACTGGACTCACTGAGGAGTACCTCACTTTTTGCCTAGACCCAGTGACTGCCACAAGACTACACATGGGGAAGAGGATGATTCAATTAGAAGATGAGAGCAGGGCCCCAATGCTGCTGTCTTTCAATGGTGGCTACTATTTTCCTGACATACTAGCAGAAGTTATGCAATGATGCAAAAAATTCATGCAAAGAACCTTGGAAAAGCTACTGGAAGGTAAGTTTCTTCAAGTAATTTTGATATAAGCAGTAGTTAAAAATATATTACAGCCCGTAGCTTACAACAACTTACAGGGAAACTCTCCTGTCTCCCAAAGTTTTCTTACTAGAAAATCTATTCTGTCATTCCTATTTCTGATAATCAAAGTACCCAAAGGGCAGATTCCAGCTTGATTGCAATTTACCTTTTTTACCAAAACTAAGATTCAACATTTTTTCTTGATTTGCTCCTGTTATTCCATCTAGAGATGTGAATCTCCTCTAATTCCACTGACATTTTCACATAACCTAATTCTTACCCTCTAGGGAGAAAAACAGCATTGCTCAAAGACATCTGTACACCACTTTAATGAAAATTATGTTTTTGTTACTTGTTAGCAAGAGTTTGAAACTGAAAATAATCAATCAGGTTCATTTTTACCTGCACCCAAGTTAGTTGGTAGAAAAGCAGCCAAACCCACAATTTTAAATTTGGTTCCCCAGATATTAGATGTAACCTGAGCAAGGTAGTTGTGCTGGAAAAAAAAAAAAGAAAAAACACAATTAAACTTTTCAAACTTTATTCATGCCTTCAAAATTTTCACAAGTAAATAGCCCTTTAAAAACATACAAATCTAGTGTTGTTTTGTGCAAACTCTAATGCATGTGACTCACTGACAGATAATGCTATTTGATTGTCTGCAGGCTTATAAAAACTCTTTGAGTATTAATACTACTACAAATGATAAAGCAAGTTCATCTCATTCTCTGATTCTCTAAACATCAATTAGTACATATTTTCAAAAAGGACTGGGATTTGTCCCAGTCTCATTTTGTGTTCTGGGCATTGTCACTTGCAGAAATTATATGCGTGGCAACCAAACAGGTCATTCAATGGAGAGCTGGCAGGAGAGGGAACAGGAGTCACCAGTAAGAGCAAGATTGTTCTGATACTTGTTTCTCCAACACAAGAGTACAGCACAGCTTTCCTGTATGTTTGCACTAATAAATTCTAAGGGAGCTTCTCATTTTCTCATCAGATTGTAAGGATCACTTACCAAGCAACAAATGAAACAGAAAGGAATTATTACTGATAACCAGCATTTATACAGCACAAGCACTTTCCCAAAGTGTGTACCATTGCTTTACAGATGGATAAACTAAGGCTCTGAGAAGTGAAGTGATTTGCCCGAGGTCTGAAAGAGTAAATGAGTCAAGAACAGAATCCAAGTCTCTGATCTTACTGCTTTATCCACTGAACTTCTGCCATAACTTCTGCACAAGCATCAAAAGTGCCAGGCTCCCTGTCCACTATTTCAAACACAACTTGCTGGCTTGGAGGGAGGCAGGGTAAGAGGTGGGGCTAGGAGAGGGAGGGAGGAAAGGAGAAGGTTGGGAGAAAAGAAAATAGTTCTGTTTCCTAACCCAGTAATTCCTTCACCTCTTCAGACTGACTACAAGGCAGCTGCTGTAGTGGTATCAACACACAGCCCTAAGGGACTATACAGGAACCAGAAACTGATTTCAGAGAGGCCTTCAAGCAGACAAGAATGTATCAACTAGAATAAAAATGTCTGCCACAGGTTCTCCTAAGATAAGTAGTTGCTTTTAAAAAGTCAGGATGAAATCCCTCACTGAATTCAAAGGGGCCTGAATTTCAGCTTTACTACCCATTATCATATAGTGGCATTTGAAGTTCTACAGGGGATTCCTATTATAAGTGCAGGCAAGTGACTAGAATCTTGATCCCACTGGACACGTCTACACGTTCGTTAAGGCGCAGTGGTTACTTGTATAAACAAGTACTAAATAAATTTGCGGTAACCAGAGTTACTGCACGGTAGCGCTGGCAAATGCCTTTTCAGTGATGCTACTGTGCAGTAACCTAATAATACTGCACAGTAGCATATTAGCACTGTCCGTGCCATAATGTGCTACTGCAAAGTGTTATTAGGCTACTGCAGTTAGCATATCATGTAGTTGTGTCCACTGTGTAGCAACCATCATTAGATGGCAGGTTTTTTATAGCAAACTCTGGAGATTTATCATTGATGGCTGCCTTTGGAAAGAAAATACATATTTGGATGCAAGCATGACTACATCATTACTAGACAATACCTGAGTGATATCTTCCAATGGAAACTCTCTTCGAGTTAGGCTTGGTGAACCAATAGAAGGTTTCCTTATTGGTAATCTTGGAGACCTTGATATCTCCTGAGCAGCTCGTGACATTTTTGGAGATTTGCGGGCTTCTATATTAATTCTGTAAGGAAAGCAATAATCAGAATGATTCAGCAAGCATGGATGGGCACACTTAATGTCTTCATGTATACAGAGGACAGTGAAAGTAACTTGCATACTCTGTTCAAGTGATGAAACCAACAGATGGACAATGGTTTGACTGTCCACCATCTGTTTAGCCTAAAGCGGAACTGTCCAACTGGCAGCCCACAAGGAATTAATTTTCAGCCCACAGGTTCCCACCTGGCCACCACTTCCGTCATCCCTCCAGTTGCAATAGCTCCCTCATTCCTCCAACTTTTGCTTCCTGCCCCTGCTCCAGAGCTGAGGTGCTCACACAGTGCAGTGCAGCAAGGAGGCACCCAGTGTGGCGCAGTGCAGGGAGGGAGTCCATGGGTGCAAGGGCTCCATGGCTCACCCTGGTGCTGTCTGTGTAGTGGAAGTAAAAGCTGGAAAGTCCTGGCCTAAGGATAGTATTCTATTGGCCAAATTTAAAGGTGACATGTAAAGAGATGCAAGTCAGACGTCCTGATTCTAACTTAGACTCCGCCCTCCTTAGGACTGCTCAGCAATGTGAAGGGGGAGGTGTAACACAGCAAAAGTTGTGCTCTCGTACTCAAAGGGGCATAGGCAAGCAGCAGAGCAGCTTGCAGGTGGCTGTACTCCCAATCAGGCACAACTGCCTGGTTGGGAACAGGGCCCAGCTGTTTGTGATAAAAGCAGGACCTGAGCAGTGGAGCCACCAGTTTGCTGCTAGCAGTCAAGGGGAGAACATCACCTCTCTGGAGCTGCTGTTCACATAACATCACGGAGGTAAAGGGCAGGAACTATGGGGATGGTGGAGGCTCCTGGTCCTGAGGCATGACCTAAAACTACACCCTGCTGGGGCTGGACGGTGTAGTAGGACTGCTGGTGGTGGGGCAGTCCTCAGGAAATACCTCACCTGTGCCTCCCCAGTGAAGGATGAGTACAGGGTGCCAGAAAGCTTCAGCCCCCGCTGCCTTGTGAGTTACCCTAGGGAAGGAAAAGGCTAGGGGACCACACCCCAAAGACAAAGCAAAGGGCCCAGATTTATGGGGTGGAGCCTGAGGCAGGGTCCTGGTCATGTGAAGGGGCCAGAGACAGGGCCCAGGTCCACAGAGAGGCTGGAGATTCATAAAGGGAGCTGGGTGTGAGGCTCCAAGGGGGGTGGGATCCTGAGGCCAAGAAGGAGGTGTGAAGCCCCAGGGGCAAAGGGATTGATGCCCAGTGTCGGGCAGGGGATTGAGTCCCAGCGTCAGGTGTGTGCGGACCAAGAGAATCCAAAGCCAGGCAGGGAGCCTGAGGCAAAGAGAGGGGCTGTGAGCCCCGAGTGGGGGTGAAGACAGCCCAGTGCAAGGACACAGGAAATGAGAGTCCCAACATGAGGGCACAGAGATTGCAAACTCCAGTGTGAGGGCACAGGAGTGAAAGTCCTGAAGTGAGGCACTGGAGAGAGGGTCCCAGTGTGAGGGCATGGGAATGACAACGCTAGTGTAGGGGCACTGGATCATAGGCTAGGTGTTAGGCCATTAATACCATCTGCGAAGCATGGGGCACATTATAAGGGGAGGTTCGGAGCCATGTATACACCCTTAGCATCAGGGCAAGCAAATGGGCAGCCGCCTGCCTTGTTTTCAACATCAAATGGTTTTCATCAAAGGTGCGGCAGGAGAGGCAGGTGGGTGGGCGGGCTGCCCTGAAACAAGTGGGCGGGCCCATGACTCAACCGGCCCCAGGATACATGCTTGTTACAGGAGGTGATGTAACTTACATGTCACAGAGTCATGAAAAGAACGTGGTAGCAGGCAGACTCTGAGTAAAGTCCATGAGAAAGCCAAGATTACATTTTGGCTGCTGGATTTGGGTCCCTGTGCCATTAATGAAAGCCAAGCTTCACAAATTTAGCCAGCTCTCCTCTTCTGAGGAAAACATTATTTATGCTTTCTCTAATGTAAATATTTCAAATGGGGCTCCAGGATGTGAGTCTGAGGGGCTGAAAAGGGGCCTTTGCTGGAGAAAAACGCATTGCATTTAGGAAGGGAAAAATTCATCTCATCAGCAAAGCAGCCTGATATTTTTCTTTCTTTTTGAGCCACATCTGCTTTGCTGATGTATTTGTTGAACAGTAAGGTTCATAACTTTCCTGTGATTTCAGATGAGAAGCTCCATTTTCTGGGCCTCAAACTATAGCCAGCAGGCCTGACTGCCTGCTAAGAAGTCATAGGTAAAGTACCAGCCTTTACTGGAAGCTATGTGTAATCTGATGCTGACAGCTCACTGGCATCAACAAGACTCTGCATGGGTGTACCATTCTGCCTATGCACCTTGGGTTGCAGGCTCAGGCTTTGGATTTGAGGAGTCAGGTGCTATTTAACAGTGAAGAGCAAAATGAAAAGGAAAATGCAGAAATTCAGAAGGGCAAGGGCTAGACTTCATATCAGCCTACAAGCAACAGCATTAGAAACGAGAGTTTTGTGTGTATAGAAAACCTCTTCATTCTAGCTATGGCTGGCAAGAGCTGCAAAGCACCTAGCATAATGGGGCCCTGCATTGTACTCGTGGCCCCTTGATGCTACTACAAAACAAGCAATAATCAACACACATGGCTGGACTTGATGTAATTTTCATTTTTCCCCACAGACTTCACCATTAAACATGGATGGATGCGAGTGCTGAAGGTAACAATTGCCTGCTGCTTAAACCATGTGACTGAGCGCCTTTACCATTATTTTACCAACCAATAAGACACGAAAATACAATGACAGGCCATTTTAAAGATGACATTTTCATTATATAGCCACCTGAAAATTTCTATGTAGAAGGTGTTGGTAGAGACTTTGTCCACACACAGTTCTACATCAAAAAATTGTGAGAGAGGTGTGTGTGTGTGTGTGTGTGTGGCATGGGGGGAGGAGGAGAGGGGAGGAAAAGGAACAGAATAGAATGAAGAATGAATTGAAAACGTTGTAGAATATTCCTTTGCTATCATGGACACACCACATGCCCTGGACTTTTTTCTGGCTTGATGAGCTATCTGCAAGAGGCAGACTGAGGCTGGGGAGTTTGCTTACATTATTATTGCAGCTAACCATAGAGGATGATTTTAGGGGCTTGATAAGGTCTGCAATGTTCTCTCAGGGAGAAAAAAAAAAGACTCCTGAGAAGCTGTAATTTCCACAGGCAGATTCTTGCCAATGAAAGGTGTAAGAACATCCCCTTCTGCTTTAATTATATGAGGCATCAAGACAGTACTAAAAAAAAAAAGACCTAGAAAAAAGGAAGATAAAACAGCCAAGAAGGGATTACCTGGGGAGTTTGGGTGACTTGCTAGCTCGACTGATTTTGGGAGATTTCTTTGCAGCCCAGTCATCACTCAGTTCAATATCGCTGGAGTCTGAGCAGTTGCAGCTGTCAATCACAGTGGAAATCAAGCTGTTTCCATAGATTTCATCTACCAAGACAGGTCCCAAAAAATGTAAGAACCATTTCAGAAACCTGATCCCAATTTCAACTGTCAGTCATCTGAGACATAAACCTGATCCACAAGCAGAGCTAGGATAAAATGGTAGCAGGGAAAATTGGCTCTTTTTCAAAATGCCCAATATAACCTCAGAATTTCAGATGGCCCACATTCAAGTGAACAATGCTCATTTGTTCAAGGTGACTCGCAGACAGAGACTGAAAAATATCTCCTGTTAACTAGTAACTGATCCATAAGCTAATGGGGCTTAGCTTCTCCCCCACCAAACGCAGGGCAGCAGTACGGCTGCAGCAGGGGTAGGGAGGGAGTGGGGAGTGTGGCTGGGGCTGCACAGCCAGGGCGGGGCACAGGACGTGGGTTGGAGCTGTAAGTGGATTGTCTGTGGGTGTGGATCCTGCTACTACATGCACCCCAGGAGGCATGGGGGACATGTGCCCCCAGATCTGCGCTGGGGGAGGCAGGCTGCCACTGTGGGCTGGAGCCTATGCCAGGCTCTTCCTGGCAGGGATGAGGGTGGGGAACAGGGGAGGGCTGGGCTGGGCTGCACTCAGGGCAGGCAGGGGAGGTGCTGGAAACAGGCTGGGGGAGGTCAGGGGGGCTGCAGACACCCCAAAATTTGCCATAGCCCCCAACCCCCTCTCTCAGCACTGCCACCACCCACCCTAAGCACACCCTGGTATAGTCCAGCGCAGCCCCAGCCCAAGACCACAGCGGCAGCTCACATCCCCCTGCACAAATCTGGGAGCACACGCCCCACATGCCTTCCCAGGGTGCACGCTGTGGTGGGAGCCACCACCCTCTCCCTATGCTGGGCGTTCCCCATGACAAGCCACTTGTGGCTCTGTCCCACCCCTAAAATAATTTTTTCCCCTATGCCTATGAACTGATCCCTCCCAAATCAGGATTCAGGAACTTGCATTTTGTAAACCAGAAGCCAATGTGATCAGAGTTTGATGACTGGCGCGTTAAGGATGGAAACAGATATCACCCTGACATTCCATTTGTGCTGCCATGACATGTTTTATGATGGCACAAACACTGAGCAAACAGACCCTGATATCCTTTGTTGCACCACATGAAAGGAAAATCAGTGGCACAACAAAAGGTGGTTATAGACTTTGCTGCTTTATTGCGGTGGACATCTATTACCACTGTGGCATTTTTCCCCACTCAGCCAGAACCATGGGTTTGGCTGGGCAATGGAAAACCCCACTCTCCCCCGCTCAGCCAGATCTGGGTGGGGGAAACTATCCCCTGCTCAGCCAGACCTGGAGCATGGGTCTGATGCTGACAGCATCAGGGGCAGGACAAGGAGCAGTGTATTTCCCCTTGCGAAGCAGATCATTTGTGCTGTGGACCCATCACGGCACAGCCGATCCACTTCATTCAGTGACATCTATTTCTAACCTAAGTTCCTAATGAAGAGACTGCTGCTTGCTGTGGAAAAGCACTGCAGTTGCTACCCATCAAGCAGTTCTTTGGGTAAACAGGATTTCAGTCTCTGGAACTTGCAAGCTAGAACCTTCCTAAACACTTATAAAACTGTCCCACCTGCTTTTCCGTCCGTCTTAGGATCCATGATGACAAATTCTGGCCGCAGTTTGCTGATCCGGCGCCCTTTTAAGATTGGCACCAATCCCCCTAGGTATTCCAAGTACAGTGTATAGCATGGACCTCCGACTTCAGGATCATCCTCTGTCCGCTTCATGGTACAGTGCAGCCGCTCATTGCCAGCTGTTGGGTAGCTGACAAAATCTCTCATGTTGTTGGGGTCTGGGATTGGAGGCTTAAGTGAATAGAAAAGAGTAAGAGAAAGTTACTTTTGTATTATTCTTTGTCCTTGAGCTCAGCAATACCACCCTTATTAAGTGGGGTCTACAGATTAGAGTCCTGCATTGGGTCAGGTACCCATGGGTGACCCACAAAGTGAGTTGGGTTCAGGTGGGACTATGACCTACTTCACATTTTGCAGTTTAGGTGAGGGTCTGAAAAAAAATGTTTCAGGTTAGCTTCAGGTAGGAATGTCAGCCTCACCAATGGCTGCTGAAAGATGTAAAAAAATAAGTGCTTCACCGGAAGAAGCAGCACAAAGGACATCAAACAAAGAATGGCTGCAAAGGAGAGCAAAGAAAAGACAGGTCACACCCTGATCACCTGTCTTGGCAGGAAGTGGCCAGTGGTGTCCTGCAGGGTTCAGTTCTTGGCCCCGTGCTGTTCAACATCTTTATCAACGATTTAGATGAGGATGTGGAAAGCACACTGGACAAGTTTGCAGATGATACTAAGTTATGGGGAAAAGCAGTCACGCTAGGGAATAGGTTGCAGATCCAATTGGACCTGGACAAGCTGAAAAGGTGGGCAGACTGGAACTGGATGCAGCTCAATAAGGATAAATGCAGAGTGCTTCATCTGGGGAGAAGTAACCAGCAACATGAATATAGGTTAGAAGGAGATATCCTGGTCAGCGTGATGGCTGAAAAGGACCTCAGGGTTATGGCTGAATACAGGATGAACATGAGCTGCCAGTCTGATGCTGTAGTCAACAGAGCTAATAACATACTGGGATGCATTAGACAATGCATTGTGAGCAGGGCTAAGGAAGTGATACTTCCTCTCTACTCGGTGGTGGTGAGACCCCAGCTGGAATACTGTGTCCAGTTCTGGGCACCCCACTTGAAAAAAGACATGGAGAATCTTGAAAGGGTCCAGAGAAGGGCCACAAGAATGATTAAGGGCCTGGAGGAAAGACTAAGGGATCTAGGACTGTTCAACCCGGGGAAGAGAAGACCGAGGGAGGACGTGGTGGCCATCTATAAGTATGTAAAGGATGAATATCAGAAGCTGAGAGAAAAACTATTCACTAGGGCGCCCCAGAGGAGGACAAGGAGCAATAGCCATAAACTGTTAAAGGATGGTTTCAGGTTAGATGTAAGGAGGAACTTCTTTATGGTAAGGGTAACCAGAATCTGGAATAGACTTCCCAAGGAGGTGGTGTAATCCCCAACTTTGGAAGTCTTCAAGAGGAGACTAGACAGACACCTAGCTGGGATCATTTGATCTCAGCAGTATTGCTGCCCAGAGCAGGGGGTTGGACTCAATGATATTTCAAAGTCCCTTCCAGCTCTTAATTTCTATGACTCTATGATTCTATGATCTTTTCTTTGATCTCCGCAGCCATTTTGAACACTAACTCGCTGCTTCTTCCAGTAAAGCACATTTTTTTTCTTCATATTTGTCAGCAGCTCCCCGGAATTGAATCAGCTTTAGACAAAAACACCAAAAAGCCCCATCAAAGTGCTCAATCTATAGAGACACTGCAGAGTCAGTTTGAACTAACGTGCTGCTGCTACCAGCAAAATGTAGGGTTTTTTTTTCATGTTTGTCAGCAGCAGGTTGTGAATTTGTCTACAGCAGGTTAGGTTGGTCCACGAGTAAGAAGACTTGCTAATGTGGGTTCAGTTGTATATACCAAGTGCAGGTTCCGAAAGTGGGCCTTTAAACTCAGACCCACACAGGAGTCTACAACAGATCACCATTAGCCTAAACTAATCTGAGAACCACTTAGTTACACAGCAGTGAGAGAGACATACCTGCTGGTTGGGCCAAAACCTGTACACAGAAAATAAAAGTTAAGTAAATGATAAGCAGAAACATGGTCTTCTAGTTAGGGTACTGGTCTGGGCCCAGGAAATCTAAGTTTAATGCTCAGCTCTGCCATGGTTTTCTATGGGACTGTGGACAGGCAACATAAGTCCGTTCTACATGTGATATATATTATTCAATTAACTGGTTAATTGTGCAATAAATTTAGGCCAAACACGTGCAAGAAAATTATCATACTGACTATGCAGCTATAAAAAGAGCCAACCTGCTACAAAGTTAGTGCCTGAAAAGGTGCAACGACTCTACAGCTAGTTTCTATCCCACTTTAATTTTAATGTGTAGAAGGGCCCTCAGGCCTTTTCCCTGTTTGGGCCTGCAACTCCTTTCATCATTTGTAAAAATGGGATATAGCAATCCTTCTGTCATCTGCTTCATCTCTATAGATTATGAGCTTTTTTGGGACAGCGACAGTCTGATATTGAGGTTGTGCAATGCCCAGCACTGAGGGGCCAGAGGATGGTTCTATAGTACCAAAATGCTGCTATTGGTATTATTGTTATTATTATTACTGATAAATTGCCACATCTTAGTTTCTTCCAAAACAAATATAAAAGGGAATAAGAGCTGGCGAAAAAAAGAGATAGAGTAAAGCAGGTCCTGGTGAATAGGGAGCTTTTCTATACTACAGTACATACCTTTGGAGATGGAAGAATTACAGCTACAGTATGTCAATTACTCTTTTCCAAAGGTACCAGTTATAATATAACCCTGTGTTTTAGAGACTAACCCATTCCAGAAATATTTATGTATACAAATTACTAAACTAGCAATACACAAAATGCTCTCTCATAAACAAACCAAAGCATGATTCACCATGTGGCAATAATGGGTCGTTATATAACGGATTCAGTTTGCTCTCACTTAAAACAGTGTATGCTTGAATAGATTCCACTGGCTTCAAAGCACCTACTCCAGATTGACACTGTTATACCCAGAAGTTGAATTTGTCCCAATAAAATGAAATGGTAATAAGCACCAGCACTACATAAAATGATCAGATGCGTCTAAGCACTTTACTTGCTAAGACCTCAGTTCTGGGATGGTATAAACAGTTCTGGGATCCACAGGTGTAGCTGAGGGCATGATTAGAAGACACAGGGATGGAGCAGATGGCCCTGCAATTAGCACTTGGTAAGTAATTCTGTTGATGATATGCAAAAAAGAAAAATATCCGCTCATTCTCTCTTAGCTGTGTTGGCTCAGCAGGGCTAATGGGGCTGAGTGGCAATAAAATATTGTTTCTGTCAGTAATTTCAAGGCAGACAACTCCAGTAAGTACAGATATTTGGGGCTGCCAATGTACAAGCATCCTGACATACAGCTGGGAGATAAGAGTTCCATTGTCTGTGTAGCTCCAACACAACCAATGTTAGACCAATATTACCATCACAATGGGGTGGATCTTCAGAAATCTGCTGAGTGGCAGGCACCGTGAACTCACAGGCTTTTGCTTGACAGACCAACCATAAAGGAGACCTCATGATTAATATTCTGAGCCTTATTTTGTGTGCTGAAGCAGTGTAAATGAGCCCTTTTTATTTTTCATCTTCAGTCTCTCTCCTTTTTGGTTCCTCTTTTCTAACTGGGAACCACTGGGTTAAATTCTGGCTCCCTGATGTCAATTGGAGCTCTTTCATTGACTTCAGTGGGGCCAGGATGTTCCCCCTTATCTCTTGGGAACACCTGAGTGAAGAATGAAAAAAAGGCTCCGATTCCTTTTACCTTGATTGTTGGTGTGAAGGCAGTGGTGAGGTATGAGCAGAGCCGAGGAGGCAAGGTCAGTTTGCTGATATCTTTGTCATCTCGCAGGCAGCTTGCAATGGTCTGCTGGCAGAGAAGCTGCAAACTGGAGACCCTGTGCTCTACTCGGACCACGTACAGCGCAGGGCCAGAAGCCATGAGCAGGCGCGAGTCCCTGTGGCCCCAACAGATAGAGATAATGGGACGCTGCAAGGAAAGGAAGATTGCACAACTTAGTGCAGCATAAGCTTTCTCCTGGACATTGGTACAGCAAGATGCATGTTCAACAGCAACATTTGAATCCAGTGTCAAGGTTCTCCAAAAGGTAAAAATAAGAGTAGCTTTGCACTGAGTTACTGTCACTGGCAGAAAGTGTGATTAGCCCTTTGCCATTTCTGCCTCCCAGTCCCAAACTGACCACTCCCCCATACTGCCCTTTTACAAAGTATTTCCAGATGAAAAAAAAAATCTAAATCACCATCATGGACAGACTATACATACTGCCCTTTCTTCATTTTTTTGTTCAGTGATATAAATGTCCAAATTCATACCAATTAACAGAATAATGGTGAGTGAGAGATGGAACTGGATTGAGGTTTCTGAGACTTAAAAGATAAGGCAACAGCTAAATCAGGCCCTCCTTTGTACACTGTAACAAAAGGATGTTACTTTGATATACCTGGCTGTACGTTTGGGCAAATTTAGGACACACACACAAATTTAAGACAGCTAATGTTGCACCTGTTTGTGATATTCTCTGATACAGGAGTCAAGTAACATAGGTGGATTGAAAAAACAGACTGGTTAGTTTTGTAACAACCAGCTTGTAGTGAGGTGTATGCCAAGATAAGGGCAATGTCATACTTGAGGGCTAGAGTTGATTCCCATGAGTCCAATTTTCCCCCAAAAATCCTTGAAGCTTTGTCCTACATAGTATGGAAGGGGCTCTCCATACTACTCTCTTTAAATCTTCTTCCTATCATGATGCCTCCAGAAAGCTATTGTGCCATGACCACTGTTTATTGAACTTTCACAATTCTCTTACTGTTAGCTGTGCTCTCCTTAACATCTGTTGTGTCCACCTGTCATCTCTTGTCTCTGTGTGTAAGCTCAAGGGGGCTGTCTTTTAATTGTGCGTGTGTGTACTGTGTATAGCACTATGGAATCAACAGCAACAGAGGTGAGAAACAAATTGTCTCTTCTGTGAATAATACTGCACAGCAGGCTACCATAAGCACATTCTAACAAGGCTTGTTTCTTCTTCTGAAGCATTGGTTACTGGCTATAATCCTATGCCCAACGGATTAGGTCCTGTTCTTTAGATGAAGAATGGACACAATTTACTGAAAGGATGGAGATGTGTTAACATGGTCAATTAGGGACGTTTTATCCTTCTAATCAGAATACACCAAACAAGAATTAACCACACAGAAGGCAGGTGTTAACAAAGAAAACCAAGTAATCAGGCTTTTCCTCCCCCCACCTCTGAAAAATGTGAAAGACTACACAACACACAGAAACCTGGACTAGATTAGCAAAGATGTTAGTAAGCCTCAGAGACTGACTTTTTTTGAATTGTGACTTCCGAATATTTCAAGATGAGAAACCAGAGCAAACTGATTTTTATGTGAATGACAGGAAGTGCAGCTGCACAATGCCACCTCAATGCTTATTATCAAGATAAATAGTAGGATGAAGCAACTTTCTACCAGAGAAAATTTTACCCGCTGTGCCATCTCAACCTGATTTTAAATTTCAAGGAAAATACTGGTTTTAAGACAGGGCGGTGGGTGGGTGGGAAGTAGAGCAGTTTCCTTTTCAGTAAAACTAGGCACCGCAGACACACACACAATCCCATACCCACACAACACAACCTTGCATGGAGGTATGTACCCTCTGGCTGACTGATACGCAAGTGCAAAACAACAATATGTGAGCATTATGGTTTTCACAGCAATTGCTAAAGGCTCTTTGTAGTGAAGAACGACACTTCAAAAGGAGCCAAAACATCCTTGTGGTATCATGAGCAACCTGCTACATAGCCTGTCATCACCACACGTTCAGGGCAGAGGTTTGGTCAGTTCAAAATTCCATTTAATTTTGGATGCTTAAAAAGAACCCTTGTTCTACAGTACAGGATGTTCTACAATATGAGCATGAACCACATTTCAGGGCTCTACTGGTACCTCACACTGGTTGGGAACTGTGAGCTGGTCAGTGCAGCCCACAAAATAAGCAGGGTTGAATGGAGAGGGCACAAGGCAAATGCACCTGAGGGAGATGTTGACTCATCCAGTGAAGCCCTGGGAGAGGGCACCAGTGGATGTGCAAAGGCATGCATCCTACCATGAGTACAGCTAGTACTTTAAATCCAAACTACATCCTTTCGCATAAATCAGTTGAATCAATTCATATATATATATATATATATATATGATGAAGATTTTCAATGATTTTCATAGATTAGATTGTTAGGGGCTGGAAGGGACCCTGCAGATCATCGGAGCCAGGCCATGCCCCCTCCCCTGCACTGCCCTGGGCCATGCCCTCTTCCTCCTGCACAGCTGGGCTGGGGCTTTGCCATGCCTGCCCCATACATCAGATCAGGCCAACCAGTTGGATCCAGCCCACAGATGGACCAGGTACTGCCTATCCAGACTGCAGGACAAAAAGGTTGGGTACCACTGGCTTAGAACATTTTATTTTGAACATCCAGTGTTCTCTATACCAGGGGTATCAAAGTCACCTGTGTCCTCAGGCAGAATCCAGAAGGCAAGGAGCCTCCCGGGCCAGGTCCAGACCCAGTGAGGGTGATAACGCCTGTGGCAGCAGCAGGGCAAGTGGCAGGGGAGTGAGATGTCAATACAGCCTTCACTTGCCCCTCCTCCACTCTCCCACAGACACACATACCCAATGGGACTCTATAGCTGGGAATTTGGCAGCAGGCTCTGTCCCTGTTTGTCCCACCCCCAAATTCCCAGAACCTCAGGGTCCCCCATAGACCTCATGAAATGGCTCCATGGGACATACCCAAATCACAGGCCACATGTCTGACATCCCTACTTTAAATCATCAACCAGTCTCTGGGCTAGTATTGGTTTGTTGGGTGCTTACTGATGCTCCAGACACATTTTGCCAGAACTTTCACCGGGGCAGCATGTCAGCCGGACTGTTCTCACGT